TTCTTCGAAGTACATACCTGACGCTACATTTAACCGGCCCTTACGAATCTTTTCATGTTGTGGCAATTGGGCTGCGTTGTTTCCAAAGCATCCCTTAACTTTCACGGACTGTAACCAACGCATGCATTATGTTAATATGAAAGAAATAATTGACAATTAAAACGAACCTGGAGCTCCCAATACCCGTAGTGCGCTTTCGTGGGGAGTCCATGATTACTGGGGGTTCAATACTACCTGGGTTATTGAAGAAGCCTACACGTTACCTGTCATCGACACCTGGAAAAGCCGCAAGTAATTTACTGTACACGCTAACTGAACATACCATTTTCATCCGCCTCCAAAAACTTTTGTAGTTTATTAAACAGAAGGACACGCGTGGTCGCTGAAAATTGTAACTGAGGCGGTTGATAATACCTGTGACTGGCGGAACTGCCGTCATGTACTTTGAAAGTTCAGTTCTCAGTTCTTCGTCGGTTAAGTCCATTTGAGTCTCCAAAATGCTCCGGATAAAAAGAAATACGGCCTCGGCTAAGTTGTCGTGGAAGTCGTACCCTAAAGAAAACAAAAATGCTAATGGTAGCTTTAAATAGTTTAGAGTTTAGCGACGTTATTTTCAAGACAACCAACAATAAGTTTGCCCGTCGTAATCGATAACATCCGCTTTTTTGTAGGTTCTGACTTGCGCCTATAGCGAAGCAGACTTTAGTTGCACCTGCGAAATACTCCTCTTAGATTTATTACGTTCCAACGGCAAGACCGAGTTAAGACGATCGAAGCGTAAACGCAGTGGTTGCGGCGCCTAGCACGTGTGCTAACACTGTTGTCCATACTAACCAGTCTTCAGTCTCTAATATCATATAGGCGTACCATAAAAATCGCAGTTTACAGTCACACTTCTATTCGAAAGAGAGAGAAGAGAGGGTAAGTTATTCCACGACTGGACAACTTTCTAAACTATTACTGTTAATGCGTTGTGATAGTAAAGGAGCGCGTTCGGTCAGGTTACAGAAGGGATCGCCTGACGGGACCCAGTCACGCCGATGTTGAGAAGTAACCGAAGTACAATGTGCTATTTCTATAAAATGTCATTGCTACGCAACCACATACCTGTCATTTGGCTCATTAAAATTGTTACGGAAAATACTGCGCACCCGCTTTCTCATTGTATGGCAAATTACACTGCTCAGGCAGAGGTAGATTGCCGAGTAGATCACGGGGATCATTGTGTCTGCTTATGGTCTAAGCCAAAGAAAAATGACCCAAGCAGATCACACCCACATAGTTATCATTACTTCCCAAGATTTCAACATCGGACAACTTTAGGGCGTGAGAGGGACCTGTCAAGCAATGTAACATAAAGGTTAGCGTTATTACTCGTCACTATTTATCCGTGTCTAGCCATGCACTTCAGAATTAAATTCATCGTTTGTCTAAAGTAATTGTTTTACCAGCAACTACATCAGCTCCGATAAGGGGCTCAAGACGTTTCTTGCCGTGGCAACTGGTCTTTCGGCTTTATGACGTTGTTTTGCGTATGTGTGCGAACCTAGCTTTAAATGAAAGAGTAAGGCAGTCGACGGCAAAACTTGGGTCTAGGGAGGTGTTGGTACCTAGTCTCCCCTTTGTACGTATCAGTCAACGAGATTGTTTAAGTGAACATTCACTCCAGCCATCCATCGACTGTCGCAACTCGACCGGTTGGGTAGTTGCTGCTGGACCTTGGTGCGCACGTCCTGTTTATCGCTTTCGTAAATGTCTTGATTTTTAAGCCACTACAAAATTAACATCAGGCCGTTCAGACTGATTCTAGAATCCGATGAATCGACTAATGGACTTTTCGTCTGCTCGTTGGTTGTTGCGTTTAACATGGAATTGGTTTTGAAACAGATACTTGAGAGTCGAACTATGTGAGCCTACAAATAATCGTACAGACTGCGAAATCTTAAAAATGTAAGCAAACGCGGGCATTTCATCAGGAGATTTAGCAACCTTCTTTGACAGGAATATATAGAGGCTTTTTTTCTCATCGTTAAGTTATCTCGGATGCATAGCGTGATGGTTGCAGTCTGCAAATACTGCATTCTCCGTGTCCGTAAACCCCGTCTACTGTGGTCTTCTATGGTGAGTTTACGCTAGCTCCACTGACACTTTTGTTAAATGGCTAAGTGTGTGACTGGCCTGGGCGGCACAATCCACTCTGCTAGACGGTTCTTAGGGGGATGGTAGTTACGTCAAA